CCTAGTCTTTCGAAATTGCAGAAGATGGTTCCTCTTTTATCCGGTCTTCAGACTTAAGATTGTCAGTCATGTCAGCAAGGGAAGCACATACGCTCCTCCTTTGCCAATCGAGTCAATAAAACGAGCTGATACTCCTTTTTCAATTATTCATTCAGATATTTGGGGTCCAAGTCGTGGTGTGTCTGTTTTAGGGTTTCGGTATTTTGTTACTTTTATTGATGATTTTTCACGTTGTACCTGGATTTATTTAATGAAAAACCGTTCTGAGTTATTTTCTATTTATTAAAAATTTTCTGCTGAGATTCATACCCAATTTGGTGCTTCTATTCGTATTTTACGTAGTGATAATGCTAAGGAATATGTTTCTATTGACTTTTCTAATTTCTTAGCCTCACAGGGTACTTTACACCAAACTACTTGTCCTCACACTCCACAACAAAATGGAGTAGCCGAACGTAAAAATAGACATCTCATTGAAACTGCACGGACTCTTCTTATTCACATGCATGTTCATCTTCACTTCTGGGCCGATGCAGTCCTTGCCTCTTGTTTTCTCATCAACCGTATGCCTTCATCTGTGCTAAATAATGACATTCCTTATAACTTGTTGCTTCTAGATGCTCCTCTCCATTCCAGATGAGCAACATATTGCTTCCATACCTGAGGGACGTCCAATTCTCACTTATCAGCGTCGTAAAACTGTGCCTCTCGTCGACTTGACCCCTGCTGACTCATTGCCCCCTGCAGTTGATTCTTCCCCTCCGGATCCTTCACCAGAGGCTCTTCCTATTGCTCAAAGAAAAGGTACACGTACTACTCGTAACCCTTATCCTCTTTATACTTTTTTGAGCTATGACCGTCTTTGTACTCCTCATTTCACCTTTGTTTCTAGTCTTTCTTCTGTTTCTATTTCTAAGACCACAGGTGAAGCATTTTCCCATCCAGGGTGGCGCCAAGCGATGCTTGATGAGATGACTGCACTTCATTCCAATGGCACTTGGGATCTTGTTTCTACTCCTCTAGAGAAGTCTATAGTTGGTTGTCGCTGGGTTTTTACTGTGAAAGTTGGACCTGATGGCCATGTTGATCGTCTCAACTCACGTTTAGTTGCAAGGGTTTTACTCAAATCTTCGGCCTTGATTATAGTGACACATTCTCTCCGGTCACTAAGATGGCGTCGGTTCGCCTGTTTCTTGCTCTTGCTATTGTTCATCACTGGGCACTCCTTTAACTTGACATCAAAAACGCTTTTCTTCCTGGTGATTTACAAGAAGTTTACATGGAGCAACCACTTGGCTTTGTTGCTCAGGGGGAGTCTGGGAAGGTGTGCCGACTTCGTAAATCCTTATATGGTCTCAAGCAGTGTCCTCAAGCATGGTTCAGTCGCTTCAGTTCTGTTGTTCAGGATTTTGGTTTAATCCGCAACAAAGTTGACCATTCTATATTTTATAGGGTCACATCTCCTAATAAGTGCATCTATTTGTTAGTCTATGTTGATGACATCATTCTCACTGGAAGTGATCAAGCTGGAATTCGTCAGTTAAAACTATTTATTCAGTCAATTTCAAACAAAAGACCTTGGGAAGCTATGTTATTTCTTGGGAATTGAGGTGGCACAATCTAGACACGGCATTTCTATCTGTCAAAGGAAATATGCCATAGATATCTTAGAAGAGACTGGTATGTTGGGTTGTAAACCAGTTGATACACTCATGGATCCCAATGTCAAATTATTGCCCGGACAGGGGGAGCCATTATCTGATCCTGGTCGTTATCGGAGGCTAATTGAGAAGTTCAATTATCTTACTGTGACTAGGCCAGACATTTCTTTTGCTGTTAGTACGGCTAGTCAGTTCCTTGATTCCCCTTGTGATTCTCATTAGGATGCTACTGTAAGGATCCTCCAATACATCAAAGGAGCACTAGGAAAAGGTTTGTTGTATTCTGATCAGGGAAATACAGAAATTTGTGGTTATTCAGATGCTGATTGGGCAGGATCACCCTCAGACAGGCGCTCTACTTCCGGTTATTGTGTCTTCTTTGGAGGAAACTTAATTTCTTGGAAGAGCAAGAAACAACTTGTTGTTGCTCGATCTAGTGCAGAAGCTGAGTATCGTGCAATGGCAATTGCTACGTGAGTTAATCTGGTTAAAGCAGTTGATTAAGGAGCTTCATCTTTGTAAACAGAAACAACCCACGTATCATGGTTTAACCAATTGCTACGTGAGTTAATCTGGTTAAAGCAGTTGATTAAGGAGCTTAGACCCAAGGAGCTTCAACTTATTGTGTCAACCTTTCAAGCTTCGAGAGGTTGAAAGGTCTGTCACAGGCAGGGTCGAAGTTGATCACGTGTTGAAGGTTTAGCAAAGATGTAGGGTTCGTCCTTGGGTCTAAGCTCTGGTTCGCGTATGGATTTCGGACAGCTTTCGGTATGAATTTAGTTTTGGGTATGGGTTTGGATCCAGGTATGGACATGTTTTCGAATTTGAAATTGAATTTTGGGTATGAGTTTAAGTTTGGGTTTGGTATGATGGGTATGGATTGAACCCTCTCTTTAGTGCAAGTTATTTTTGGGCCACTTGGTTCAAATTGAAGAATGGGCTTACAAGCCCAATCTGTGTATGAAGCAGAGATACCATTCTCTTTGGATTGGACTGGAAATAACTTGTCATAATATAACTTGACTCAATTTCAACTGTGATCTGTTTTGCCTTCCCTCCTCACCTTCACGCATCAGTAACCATCTTCCTCGATTACGATTGCATCGCTGAATGAAATCCAACCCAGACCAGTTTAGCTGCTGCTGCTTTGTCTCTTTAGGCACTTGTGTCCTTCTTCTTCCTTGGTTGCGCCACGCAGAACCCTCCGCTCTGTCAAGAAAAAACATATCTGGTGGGTCAACTAGTTCTTGCACATCTAGAACCTCCGTTTTTCTATCTTCCTCATCTCGCTCTCTGTTCACAATCCCTTCCAAGATTTTTGTGAGTCAGCAATTACAGAGTTTGTGATTCCCTCCCACCTTAATATTAGTTGGGGTCCTAACAGAGACATGGACTTTCATTTACTTTAGATGCTCTCCAGTTATAAGTCTCGCTTATAGGAGTGTGTGCTCTAAATCGCCCTGTCATTGCTATTTTTTGAATATGCTTAGCATGCATATTCATTTCACTGAGTATGTCATCAGTTCTGTTTAGCTTGTTTTTAAACCGTGGTTTGGTATTTTGTGTTTGGATTGCTTTTATTTTTTTAAATTTTTTAGCATTTATGCTTATATCACTTTGTATTACCTCAGTTCTGTTTATCTAATTTTTTCAAATTGTATTTTGTATTGCTTCTATATATTTAAGATCATCAGTAAGATTGGATAAAGCTTCTTGCACCTTTTTTGTGCATCCTAGTAACATGTTACCTTTTTACTAGCAAAAGGAAGGATAAATTATAACAATTTCGTTAGCAGGTATCCAGTTGGAGAGATTTTATGAAGGCTGGAAAGAAGGTGAGACATTAAGCTTCTGGTTGTCATATAAGCAAATATTCCATTGACACATGCCTAGGACATTGGAAATGACCAACTGCTTTACTTTATTACTTTTCCATCTGCAGACTAAAATGGGAGAAATTTGGCCCCCTAAGCTCAAGACAGAGGATCCCAACAAATCCTACGTTCAGAGGCCTGTAAAGAGAGGTTAGGTTCTGACATTTGTTGAAGGGTTCGATAGGCAACCAATCTAACTGGGAGTTCAAGAGAACTCATGCAGCATATTTATAATTGTGCTATGGGAAGCATCTCAACCTAACTGGGAGTTCAAGAGAACTCATGCAGCATATTTATAATTGTGCTATGGGAAGCATCTCCAATGGAATGTATACATGGAAGCATATTTATAATTGTGATATGGGAAGCATCTCCAATGGAATGTAAGTTATGTAGACCTCCTCAACTGAATGAAATCCCATTTGAGATGTTACACCTCAATAGGTAAGAACTTTAAGTTCTATGCCATTATTAACCTTATTGTTATTTTGGGAAAGTAGTCGTTGTGTGGAACCAATATCTACTGTTTTAAGCCCCCCCAAAAAAATAAAAAATATTCATCAAACAGCGGACGACGTAACCGTGCCCCCCAAAGTTCACCTTGAAAATAGCCTAAAATATCGGTTTAGGTTTGAAACTTACCTTACAAATTCAAACCATTAAGATCTTGTAGTGGGTTGGTTTACCCTGATTTGAAAAAAGTTATAACTTAATATCACTATGCGGTGCAGCTCAACTCACAAATACGCATAGTTCTTTCAGGTGCTGCCGCTTATCTTTATTTTGATCAAAGGACAGATGTTTTTTTGGATTTTTTTCATTCTATCTATTCATTGAATAAGTGATGATCCAGCGGTTCTTACCACTGAGTTGAGCTATTCTATGAAAGGTTTCTTTGTTTTGAATCATCCGATGACCACATTGAACTATTCATGTGACTGAGAGCCCTACAATCAAGACACAACAATGCAATTATCAAGGTGCACTATACCACTGAGCTAATAGCCCGTACTGGTTGTCTCAAATCACACACTAGTATCAAAAATCAGTCCTCGCAACTGCCAGACATTGGAGGACACGGTACTTGGTGAACCATATTTAATCCCCCAAGATTTTCACAGCATAAGGAAAAATACAAAATTATATTATCAAAATTCACACGTCTGTGTCATAAAACTTTGATTCACACAAAAATTAATTGTACAAGAAATGGATGAGGACTACACAATGCAACACCTATGATACATGGACCTCTAAGATTTCTGATTTATATATCTCACCATCACAGGAAAAGGAGAAAGAGAAAACTCATTGTCCTCTTGATTCACACACTAGTATCAAAAATCAGTCCTCGCAACTGCCAGACATTGGAGGACACGGTACTTGGTGAACCATATTTAATCCCCCAAGATTTTCACAGCATAAGGAAAAATACAAAATTATATTATCAAAATTCACACGTCTGTGTCATAAAACTTTGATTCACACAAAAATTAATTGTACAAGAAATGGATGAGGACTACACAATGCAACACCTATGATACATGGACCTCTAAGATTTCTGATTTATATATCTCACCATCACAGGAAAAGGAGAAAGAGAAAACTCATTGTCCTCTTGATTCCCACAACAACAAAAAAAAAAAAAAAAAACTTAGGGACAAGGAGTAAAAAATATGTAAAAATTAATGAGAAAAATCCATGAGACAACCATGACCTGGATTTTGTACCAACGGCTCAATTTACAATGGGTGGGGGGAACCCATCTGCAATTTCTAGCTTTATCAAAGTGAACCTAGCAGTAAATACCAACGTTGCTTCTCGAACTTGTATCTTGTAAAGGCCTGCTTGATTCAGCGGGTGAGAACCACCATTATGAAAGCCTTCAAGCTTTCTCTGCGTGTATTAAGATCACAAGCTCCCATACCCCGTAAATGGCGTCATGCTATACACGTAACACCAGAAATCCATGCGATAGCACAAGCCGTTAAGAGTCATAAACAATAGGGGCATTCTTAATGATCACTATATCCAAGCAAGCGAACCTCGGTCATTTGCCACTTGAGGACGGCCTCTAGTTGGTGTTGGTGGTCGGTTAGCATTCAACTCCTGTACATATTTTAACCAAAAAAATTATGTTTAATAACAAAAACTTCAAATAGAATGCTTAATCCCACAAATCCACGCAATAGATTAGCTCAAAATTCACTTAGATGCACTCCTCTATTTGATAGGTGCAAAATTACGCAACACTAAGAGGGAGCCAACTACTTCAAAAATATATATATATATATATATATATATATATATATATATATATATTCGAAGGAATACCTGCATCCATGTATCTTCAATATGACGTTCTGGTGAAGTTTCTGGTGAAGAAATTGCAGGTGGTAATGGATGAATCAGTTTAGGAACCACAACAAGATCTCTGCCCAAAACTAATATTGCCCCAGCATTATTTGCAGTACCTATTGCCACAAGGAAGTGCCAAAATTTAGAAGGGAAAATGATACAAGGAAAAAAGTGCAATATAGAAGCCAGCAACAAATACCACAGTAGTTTGTAGCCGAGAAAAGTGTGATCAGATGTCCCTGGGCAAAACGCTCAAAGCCATCCATCACACATTCATGTGCACGGACAATCAGCTGAAGATCATTGTTGTTGCAAAATTCCATGACCCGATCAGGCTGCAATAGCAAACCTCATTTAGATGAGCATAATAGCAAACCCAAGTTTAAACTCTTAAGGTAGCAAAAGTTTAAAAATTAAGTACAGACATCATCCAAAAGGGCAAGTGCCTGTAATTAACAATAACAATAACGCCCATCATAAAAGGCAATCTTTAAATAAGAAGAAATATCAAGTGCTGGAATTAACAATGGCATCAGCACAGGAGAAGGGAATAAATGTGAAGTACATGCAGTACAACAACTTGAAGCAACAGCACTAAAAAATGGAAGTGATAAGTTTCATTGTCTTTTCAAATTGAAGTCCATACATAAAGCACAGCTTCAAAAATAATTGTTTAATGGATGCATGTTACAATTGCAGAAGTTTTAGGGTACAAACACTGTACATTTGATTTAAAAAGTCTCCAATAATGCTTCAAAATTCAGCACCACCAATACATCAATATGTAAAAAAAATCACTCCCCGTTAAACCCGACTAGCGAGTGTAGGGTGGAAGAAATCCTTGTACGCAGCCTTACCCTTACATAATTGCAAAGAGGCTGTTTCCTGGATTCGAACCCATGACCTTTCAGTCATGAAGGAACAGTCATCACTATGTATTTCTAGAATAATAAAATTAATATATGAGCATTCTAAATTCATCAAGTTCAATCACACAAACCAGTATTAATCGGCATTAATATATAATATTTATCATCTAATCTAGAAACATTGAATCTACTATCTATTTATATCATTATCCTGGCAACTAATAAACAAAATATTAACCATTTCACAAAATAACAGGTCACGATCACTCACCCCAAAAGTAACTAACCCTGGACCTCTAGCATTTGGCCGCAGCCCTTCCACGCTGTCATTCTCTGTAGGATCAGACCTAGATAAACATTTCATGCTGTTATTATCCAAAAGGACACAATAAATTGTCACGAATATGTAAAAATCTTACAAATGCACTAACCATAATAGATCCATAAGCACAATTGATCCTGCTTCCATTGTAATCGGACGCTGAATATTCTCAATTTGCTCCAAATGATTTATTGAACGACCAATACCCCCGTGCATGCAAATAATTTTTTTCTCAATTAGAGCTGCCAGAGGAAGCCAATTAAACAGACGGTTTATCCGGTGCCATGCCCAAATTCCATCTCTCTCACCCTGATCAGCAAATTACAGGGTTGCTTGAGTATTCGATAAGAATAGAATAGATAGTATAGTATATGAAATTACTTACCAGCCTCTCGATGCACTCAATTCGGAAACCAAAAAGGGCATTAATATCTGCAGCTTCATGATTTCCACGTATTAAATGTACATTGTTTGGATACTCAACCTGCAAATTCACATAACCATGCATAAACCTGTTACCATCAAACTTGATAAACAACACAAAATGACGACCTATATATCCAGAGTACCTTTAGAGCAAGCAGAAGGCTTATAGTTTCGAGGCTGTGCTGGCCCCTATCAACATAATCTCCTAGGAATAGATAATCGATATATCTGAGTCATTTACACAAAATTAGCGACAGAAAATCGAATGCCTGAATCACTGGCATTATAATATTGACAACAAAATATTATGCACATGGGGGAAGAAAAAAAACTACTAATCATTTATTCTGTTTTGTTTGTAACTATAAACTCCCAGATCAACATAAAACAATCCAATTGTTTATATGCATTAAATCTGACAATCAATCTAGCAACTAGTAAGCTACACTATCCAATGCAAACTGCCAGGACAAATCCCACTTAGAGCACAACGTTTATAACCATAAACTCTCATATAACATATAACAATTCACCTTAGGTAGATCAGGTTAGGCTAAATGGGTCAAGAAATGGTACCATGAATATAAAATTTGGAAAAGCATGAGACATTTGTAAAATGTATGTGTTGGAAAATCAATCACAATCACAATCACAAGAACTTATGCTCAAGTTAAGATCACAACAATGCATCAAGCCTAGAAAAACTAATAAAGTGACCCTGAATCTAACGAGGGACTCCACAGATGTTCAAACCGAATTATGGTAGCAAACCAGATGGCATAAATAATAATAAAAAGCATATTGTGGTTTTGACATCTTAATACATTGACAACCAAGCTTAGACATCCTGATAAATAACCTATTGAACCAGAGGCTTTAGCTAGAAAACAGACACCGCAATTCACACAATTAGAGGAACATACTATCCATTATTCACATATAAAGCTATCCATGGGAACTAAGGAACTAAGGAACTTACGCTATGTCACCAGCAGTTGATGGTGCCCCATACTCATCAAAGAGGCGCATAAGATCCCCAAACTGCCCATGCAAATCACCAAATATTTTAATTGGTGCCCTAAGCTGTAAGACACTTGGTTCACTAGAAAATATCCGCTCTGCACTGTCACAAAGATCCGCAATTTCATTGCAATCCAAGAAAAACTGCCGGCGAACTGGTGGTTTCCAGCCACGAGGCTTTAATAGGTGTGCTATGACCTATAAAGAAAGTCAAGAATCATCATAAGAAACAAAATTGACATAAGGTGACGCCAATATCTCCGGTGATTCAACAAAATATGTATGAAAAAATCAAAATGGGGATGTAAAAGCAAACCAAGATTAAACACAACGCATTCAGAAAGTTGCCATGAACAGAAGGGGTGTGATAGACTAGACAATGACAACGAAAGGAAAGTGAATGGACATAACTTATCAGATGTTCTGCACCTGACCCATTGATTATGTCTCCAAGATTCGATAGGTCAAGCGGACATTTAATAGTTCATGTTATTTAAAAAAAATAGAAAATAATATAGTGCATCTGATCCATTACCATTGCTGAATTATTAAATAAAAATATGTTCCTTTTGTAAGAGCTTAATTTTGATCAACTAATAGTGTAAAAATTTTGTATACTATCATTCATCTATGTATCGTCACATCATTAACAAGAGGTCGACCATGATAAGAACTATTAAAGAGGTCAAACTCTTTTATGATGTGGCAATATACATGATTAATGATAGTGAAAAAAATGTTACAGCGGGAACAAAATTAAAAACTTCATAATATTATTAGTACGAATATTCTGCACTCAATTATGACTAGTGATAGAGACAAATATGTACCTTCTTAGGGACACTATTGATAGACATCTGCCGATCTAATAATTTTCTAGCTGCCGTTGCATTTTCTGGAGTCCCATAACTGACCCGCCTGCCTTCATTTTCAAACTGATCAATTGAAAGCTGTCTAACCATGCCACCTAATGCTCCACCAGTCTCTGCAGCAACAACCACCTGCAGAAAATTCAAGAGAACAGAGATTGCACTTGAATACTTCATGAAAAACTTGACACAGCATAACTTTTCCTTGGTAATCAAAATGTATTACTCACAGCTCTGTGATGCAGCCTAACTCCACCTTGAGCGATGCTATCTAGCCCTGCAGAATCAGGCTTAATCAAGGAAGATATTTGTTTCCCACTAGGGGTAGCCTCAGCCCCACGGTCTCGGTCAGGCAATTCAACTTCTCCATTCACTTGTCGTGCCTTGGCAGCAGCCAGTGTGGCACTGATAGCTTCAGCTTCTGCAGCTGATGCTTCAACCAGATACTCAACTCCTTTGCTAGTTCGCCTGTGCAAAGTTCTTCACGTGAATAATGAAGCCAAAGAAGTAACATTTTAATACTTGCCCAATAAGATGATAAAAGCTACCATACCTAGATCCTTGAAGCATGGCATTTTCAGTGCTGATATCAGTATATATGTCACCATTTACAGGGGGAGCAACTGGATTCCCCAAAACAACTGCACCATCAGAAGTCGCTTCAGGCATTGTTTGCCTTGTCCCATCATCAACAAATCCATATTGTCCAGATAGCCGTCCCACTTGTAAATCAGATGCAGCTGCTGCAGCAGCATGTGAAGCAGCAGTTGTTGTTTCGGCAGCAGCAAGATCTTCAGCAACAAGTAGATCATCCAGCAAGACTCCTGCAGCATAAACACAATACATTATGGTCAGTCCTGCTCATCATGTGAAAAATTAGAACTCATCCACAAGATAAAATGACAACGTAGGAGAGCAAACATCTCAGCTTGCAAGATGAACAGGGATTGACTGGCCGTGCTCAAGAACAATTCAAACAATAATGTAATCTTAGATCAACAACAAAATATATTGATAAGAGAAGAACAAATTCAGCAACTGTGTTAACGGGAATTCTCTCATAGTTGCTGACTGATGTCATAGCCTGAGCTAATAGTAAACCTAGATGAATAGAAATACCCACAAGTTTCTCTTAACTATCTAGATGTGCTCCTCTCGACTCTATTTTTCCTTGAAACACCAAGCTTTACATGCATCTGATCAACAGCATGTTTGCTATGGCAGTCATACTGTTCGAGCTATTTCATAAGTTTCCATCTCCCAACTTTTTTAGAATCATTTAAGAACTATTCATATACTGGTAAGTGATAGAAGAGATTAACATACTGTAGCTTCTAACTTCAAGTCCAGACAAAAATCCAAAAAACAAATTCCACTAAAATATTACATTAAATAAAACGTGTAAACAAAAGACAGCAAAGAAGCTAAATTGCCATCAGAAAGCAGGCTGACCTAATGAACAACGTTGATCAAAATGTATCATGTCATCCAGCAAATAGGAAATAAATCCCATCAAAACAAATGCAGAAAAAGTTAGTTTTATGACTTACCGCCACGTAAACCACCGTAAAGAAAAATTAGGTCCCCAACAGCAGCCGCTGCATGCCTACAACGCCGAGTCAACTCAACTGAGGCATCCCCACCAGCTGCATCAGCACTGTATCTACCTGTTCTTGGACTGGTAACAACAGATTTTGTATCACACCAAACACCAGCAGCAGTGTCCAACACTACAAACCGAGAAAAAAAATAATTAAACATGTTAAAGATATATAAAACCATCAATATAGCCTCACCCAACAGTTAAAGCTTTTGGGATGAATTGGTTCTTTACATGGTATTAGAGCCTCGGTGTCACGGGTTCGATCGTCACCGCCCCCCATTTAATTAATAATTAATTAAGTCTTGTAGAGTTTCTTAGCACAGGTAAACTGGGCCTAATGCATCATCCACCCTTCAAACCCAATGGGCTCTCGTGTAAGGGGGCGTGTTAGAGATATATAAAACCATTAACGTAGCCTCACCAAACAGCTTAAGCTTTTGGGTTGAATTGGTTCTTTACAAACCATAGCATTCATTGGTATAAAAATAAATCTTGCATTCACATAAAAATATATAAAAAAAGTTTACCATTGGTACAAAATAACTAAAGGCTACAGCAGCAATAGGCACCAGCAAGCTACCCTACAAACAGTAGCTACAACAGTAATGGAATTCCAAAAGTATTTGTTATTGCGTATAACAGATCACCCAGATTTCCACAAGAATATGTTCTTACTTCATTTCACCAAAAAATAAGCCACTCTTCTGTTAAAGATGAAAAATGCATGTACACAAGAGTGGAGGAAGAAGAAACAGAGTAAGAGCATAAAAACCAAGTTTGTAATAAATGCAATCGAGATCAAACAAGGCCAAAAAAAAAAAAAACAGCAGTACCAGTCAAAAAAACTAAAATTTTAAGCTACACCACAATCACAAACCTGCGACACTTGACGAGTCTTCTACCATTCGGCCTCCGCCAAGAGCTCCGCCAGACACATGGAGCCTTGCATTAACAAATACCTAAAACCATTAAACAAGTGAATTATGATACTTGGAATATATAACCAACTAGGAAAAAATAGAATAAAATAAATGAAACTAAATCTCACTGCTGCATGCTGATATCTAGGAGATGGTGAGACACCAGGGGCAATTGCCCATTCCCAACGACCATCTCTATGCTTAGCAAGTCCATATGCACTTGCCAATGGCTGCAATATATAATTCGCGGGGGTAAGGGGAAAGAATAAGACCAGAGCTTAGAAGTAAAACAGTTCACAAGTGTCACAGAAAAATATCTAACAGAAATTTAACAGAATTACATGAAGCCACCAATTCGTGTTTGTCTATAAGAAAATAGGATTGGAAAACAAAAAGCAGAAATTGATAGAAGTAACTATCAATAGACTTATAAAGTCCACATAGACTGGCCACGACTATCAATGCCATCAGCCAGATAGAAAGCGTCCAATTTTTACTTGCAGGTGATGGCCTGTCTAAGCAATTATAGATTTGGTAGAGTTATTGGAACTTCAACAACCAATCATCAAGAAGTACTCCGATAGTTTCTGAGTCTGTTTATTTCAATTCAAATATCAATATGAAAAGCGTTCAATTAGTTATTAGCAGATTCCATCCTATCAAATATCAATATGAAAAGCGTTCAATTAGTTATTAGCAGATTCCATCCTATATATGGTTAAGTCAGATTCTACAATTGAATGTGTGGATACCAAAATTCAGCACATATAGATAATATATTCCAAAGGGAGAGGCTAAATTATGGAGAAAATCATGATATATATATATATATAGGAAAATGTTATACTTACTACCTATTTTTCTTACTACTTGTCACTATTAAATCTTAAACCGTTGATTTCCGTCAATCTAACGATTGTAATTTATTGCAAATTAATAATTAATTAATAAGTATGACCCCCTAAATTACAACCGTTAGATTGACGAAAATCAACGGTTAAGTTAGATTGACGAAAATCAACGGTTAAGTTAGATTGACGAAAATCAACTGTTAAGATTTAGTAGTAAGAAAATAAGTATAACCTCTGTGTGTGTGTGTGCGTGTGCGTGCGTGTGTGCGTGTGTGTGCGTGCGTGTGCGTGCGTGTGCGTGCGTGTGTGCGTTCGTGCGTGCGTGCGTGCGTGCGTGGGTGTGCGTGCGTGTGCGTGTGTGTGTGCGTGTGCGTGCGTGTGTGTGTGCGTGCGTGTGCGTGCGTGTGCGTGTGTGTGTGCGTTCGTGCGTGTGTGATGGGGAATTTTTTGACTCCAGTGTCAGATTACGAAATTTTACTCCCCATCTCAGCAGTTGATTTCCATCTATCTAACAATTACAGTGAAGGGTATTGGGTCTTGGAAACTAGGTGTAAGATATTACCCGGGCAGTTAAGTGGTTACAGCATTTTCTTCTTGACACTTACCTCTTTATGGCAGCAAGTTATTAACAGCAAGTATAGTTTAGATCAGAATGGATAGGGAAGTCAAACCAGTGATTAATTCTACTTACACTAATCCATGGATGTTCATCTTTCAGGGATATTTTTCTTTTAGACCACTGAACCAATGTGATGGCACTCATATCAAGTTTTAGGAGGATTCCTGGGTCGAAAATGTGTCCTTCCTTGACTCTATAATCTTTCTACTGTAGATGACTCCTCCCATAAATAGTTTCTATTGTACTTGGTCCTTATTAAATTGGGATTTTCACTTTAGCAAATCTTGAGTGATATGGAGGTGGATAAGGTAAGTAATCATCATTTTTTGCTTGAGTCAAATCACTTTTGTGCATATTCTGACAGGTCAGTTTGAATTCAGGACTCTTCTGGATTATTCTCTTGCTTATCAATTGATGGACCTCAAAACAAGACTTGTAATATCAAATTGAAGTTTCTGGAGGCTGCGCTCCTCACAGCAACACAAATGCAGCAAAACCAGAAATTTAAGACAACACCCAAGCTATGGAAGTCTGTAACAGAGGACTAACCAACCCAGAAAAGGAAAAGAAAAATGACCGAGACCTGGCCACCCAGAATCTCAATCCTTTCCTAATTACCCAAATCAGAAAACACATACCCCCCCCCCCCCCCCCCCAGTTCCCCACTGCTCTTCTACCACTACTTTTGGCCCTATTAGAATACTGCTTCTAAAAACAATTATTTTGTTTTCAGAACAAAAAAACCCGTTTAATAAAGCATGTTTTGTAAAAATTGTTTTAAAAATTGTAACTATTTTTTTGTTTTTAGAATCAAATTTAGAGAACATGTCTGAGTTGTTTTTGTTTTGTGTTTTGACTTTTAACTTTCAAAACAAAAAAACAAAGAAAACACATGTTTTCATAACTATTCTACAAAACAGCTTTAAGAACAAAAAAACCATAACACAATCAAACAGACCCTTTATCCCCTCATCATTCTGTTCTGCAGCTTTTTCCATTTTCTCCACTTCTCCACTATTTTCTTGCCACCTGGACTGCTTGATAACCAGCTCACCTCCTTTTCATGACTTGGCTCATTTGGTGGCCCATTCCCCACATCTCCTATCACTGCTTTCTTCCTTCTGCCATATCTTCATTTAAATGGCTCACCATCCATCTTCCAATTTCTCACACTCTTCCCAAACTGTTGAAGTTTCCTACTAGAAAAATTATATGAAAGTCAAAGCTCACTCTAAAGTGAAGTCCTTTGCTTGGACAGCATTTCCAAACAGGATTATTACAAATTATTTGCTATAGATTCACAGGCCTAGCATTGCTCTCTCCCTAGACATGGGTCACGCGCAAGTCAAGCTCATAAATAGTGTAACATTTATTTCTGAATTGAGAGGCAACCACCCTTTTATGAATCAATCCAATTTGCAAAAGGTATTGACTATCCTGCCACACTCCTAGTATCCCGGTTTTGTTTGTTTTTAGATTTTTGTTCAACTCTTGAGGATACCTCATCCTTCCCCTGCGGGACTTCTCTTCTCTTTATTAATATTTCTTTATAAATCAATCAGGCATACACAGACCTACCCAGTGATCAGACTTGTGCAAGGTAGCTTAGGATAAAGGAAAAAGTAACTCTTCTCTTCACCAAAGATAATTAACTCTTGTTAGGCCACCACAGATGAAAGCCATATGCAAGGGGAATAAGGGAAAGTTCTATCAAAAGATTCCCAGGCAAACCAAATCAATAGAATGAGAGAGTGTAAAATTCTGAATAGATGACTCACAACACTATTGGCATCCCTCCCTCCACAAAGCAGAAGAAGCCCATCAGAGCGTGCACTTGCAGTTGCATACCTACTCAAAAGTAAATGACAAAACAGCAACTCAACCCCACATTATAAAAATTTCAAGCACAATGATAGCCAACTTAAATAAATACAAGGAAAGTTTAACAGAGTTATTCGATGACATCTACCAAGGTTCTTAAAGTACTCTCTTGTGCTAACAAAAATTACAGCAATAATGAGCTTACTTCATTCAGAAACACAACACTAAAGCTAATCAAGACTTTGACAAAACTTTTCATTATCAATCAAATGATAAGCAAATTACAGAAGAAAAAAGCTCCTCTGAAGTGAGTTTGTCTTCAAAGCGAGCAAGGGGGTATACACCCTTAGTGGATTAAAATCATGAAGCACTTTATTAAATCAAAGGTGGATACACCCTAGCTCACTTTAGAGGAGCCTTTTCCATTACGTAATAATTCAGCATTTCAATTTTCACTCCTCTGCAATTTCATTATCTTCACACATAAAAGCAACCACAAAATAAAGGTGATCCTACTTTAAAATCAAACACCTCTCAAACTGAAGAAAGAATAAAGCAATGATCAAGCAATAAACCTACCCAAATCTACGAGGCAATAGTAAACCAATGGATATTATGCTTGACATGTCAGAACAAATGAAAATTACAGAAAATTCGATTTGCACTGATTTTGTAGAAATAAAGTCAAATTTTATTTACTAAAAGAAATGAAGAGGGAGATAAACAGAACAATATAAACACATTAAAGACATTGACCTTAGACATTAAAATAGTTTAAAACTGGGGGCAACCATCTTGGTGACATCCAAAATCACACAATATGATATCAAGTAAAACGAAGTTAACAAACAAACTTGATCCACAAAAACATATAATCCAATGAACCAGCATATCTACATAAATGCACAAACTGAAAATGAAGGGTTTTAATCTATTTACTCGATTGCAATCACTTAATGACAGCCCTCAGAACCTAGTTCAAGACTACAGAGCAGGAAAAAGCTATAATATTCAGTGTTTAAACTGATATGTACACTTAAGTCAAAATATTAGTCGAGAAAGGTAGATTTCAAGGACACAGTACATGCATGGAGGTGGACCTTCTCCTTCTGGCTCCAACTTGCGCCATTCATAAGGCTTGGCCGCCGTGTCCAAGGCCCATACATCAGCCAAAGGTCTCTTTCCTGGAAAGCAGGGACGAAAAATGTAACATCCAATAAATTTGAACTCGGAGAGCAAACATCCAAGGCAAAGAATGTAAAAGGGCTAGCATTTGGGTAGTACCATCATTTCCTCCAATTGCCATGAGATACCTCTGCCCCACCAAAGCCATAACATGTCCATAACGTGGCCCTGGTCCCGGGCCCGGAACACCAACTCTACATAACATTCAGAACCCACTGTATCAGATAAATGTCTTCTTTTTTTTTTTGGTGTTGGGGGGGGGAGGGGGGGATGGGATGAAATGTGATAGGTTACTAGTCTAACCTATGCCATCGTGGCCGATGCTGAGTGAGGTCAAGAACATGAAGGTCCTCTGCTGACAATCCAGCAGGACCAATGCCACCCTATTTTACAGTGCAATATTCCACTAAGTAAGAATTAAGCTAATCATTTAAAGAAAGGAAAAATTAACCAAAACGAAGTTAACATAAAAGATACCCTCTCCACTATACCTGAATAACTACCATCGTTCCCACAGCAGTCGCCACGTGTGCTGCCCTTGGGGTTGGAGGCTCTCCAAACGGAGTTATCCTGCATTGAATTTTCCTTTTAAGCACTAAAGCAAAGTACATAAGGCCATACAACCATTACTTTAAGCCTTGATGAAGACTGGAAAAAATCACCTAGTACTAAGCTTACCTAGACCATTTATTAGTCAAGACATCATAACAGTGGACATCAGCAGTGGCACCAGCTAAACCTGCAGAGCAAACGAAATATACCAATCATGAAAAATTTCAAGCATAAACACTTACTGATCCAATCAGTATCAATTCTTATCCAGATGAAAAAATGAATAAAATCTAGACAAATCACTGTTATCTTGCAGCATCTCTCTAAAGATGAGCAGATGTTGCCAAATTCCCATCAAATTAGGAATGTTTGCACTTAATCAAGTTTTCAGTATTTAGTTTCTGACACTGGCATGTACCAGAAAAAATAAACATTGACAGCATCCTACTTGGATGACTTGAATTTTAAGAATTAGAATAAAAATTATATGGACCTTCAAATGACTTACAAAAGTACAATGGCTAAATTATGATATAGGGCATGCACATTATATGGAGACAGGAATTGAATTGTTTAGCTGGAACCTTGGTACTTGTGGCCTAAATGATAAACCAAGCATTCTTAATCTGGTTATCTCATTTTCCTTCTTTGATCGGCAATAGTATATTAAATAATATTGACATGTTCAAAAAGAATAAATTATTACACCAAAAACAGCAACATCCATCACTTCATTCTGTGATTTATGAGGAACCAAACATTCAGCTATTCAAAAAATAAACAAAGCAGCCACATATGCAAACAATGAAACAACCATCTCTCAAAAGATTTAACAGTTTCTTTTTGTGAATCCAAAATTTTCATTGACTACAAAGAATGTTACCATGATACATTACTATCCACATCTTAAACAAAAAAGTTTAGCAGTATATATATGACATACACAACAGCCAAGGGAGGCAATAGGAAAAGGGGAAATAAAAGATTCAGACAAAAACAATCATGCACGGTCTACAGCAAGTTGGATTGGGGTTCAATGGCCCAACCCAGCTATGAGTGAAGCCATAAATGATAATGAAATAGAATTCTGGCACGCAAATTAACAAAGCGGGACTGAGGCAGTAAATATAATTAAGTGGATTGGAATGGAATGAAACAGAATGAAGTGAAGTGAATGACAATAAAGGAAAGAACCACCGAATCCATTGTTTGAACACACTATATTGTAGGAAGCAAAGAAAGTCAATAATGAATTGTTCCCCGATGACATATTTTTCCTCCACTTCTTGTCCCGTAAAAGGGGGGCGAAAAGCCATGCGAATGGAAATGTTTTAAAATGAAATTTTATAAACTTCAAATCTTACCCACCAACCACTAAAAAGGAAACAAAGTTATAAAACAACAAAATTTGTAAAAATTCAATAGATTCGCAACTCAATTTTATTGCATTGTGTTCCCAAGATGAAGTATCCAAAGCAAGGTTTACGAAAGCCATAGTTTCTATGACCAGAAATACTTAGTTCATAAGGCCCAAAGACCAAAAAGATGCCACGAAAATTGAATAGGCCTAAAAAACTCATCCCTCTGTCATCGTATTTGCATTTATATGAACTAAAACCACAATGTAATTGGAGTCTTTGCATTTTTATTTTTATTTTTAATAATTGGAGTCTTTGCATTTAAGCATCTATAATAACTAGACAAAAACAAAAACCCTATTCGTGCAGCGAAATATATTTCAGCTTTAAAACACATCAAGCATGCAAAGCGCATGGCATAAATTTCCAGATTCTACTCACACTAACAATACCAAATTTCAAAGTACTCAGCAACTGATGCATCTACGTTACTTATTGTTTTTAGGGAAAACACAAGGACGTAAAATACATACGTATGCCAGCATTTCCAGCGGATGAAGGAGTCCCTGAAGCCGCAGAATTCCCTTCAAGAGCAGTGGCACCGCCGAACAAAATCAGTCTCGTACCAATGTACCCGGGCGTGCCCTCCTCTCCCACTGCCGCAACTGCCGTCAGCGTGTGGCCGCACCGCGGCCCTGGACCATCCTCTTTCTTCTCCAAAATCGCATTCACCACTGAGTAAGTCGGCGCGAGCCTCGGACCAACTACCGGACTTCCCTGCACCTGAGCAGCCGCCGTTACCTGCTGTTGCTGTTGCTGCTGCTGCTGCACCGGCGGTTGCGCCGGAGATCCGCCGCCCGACGATGACAAAGGCGGCTCCACTAGCTGCTCTCTATCGGGATGGTTCTCCACCGCAGGATCGTGATCGGTCTCCGGCACCATCGAGGAATCAACATCCATTGCTTTAACCCTAATATTCGAGCAATTCCGCCAAGATCGAAGCTATAATTCCCGCGAAATCGCATCCCGAACCACCATTTCGATTCGGTTCCAAAAATTCCAAACGCCGCACAATTGAAAACCCTAACTCAAATCCTCCACTCCTCAATTCCGAGGAAATTCTCTCTCTCTCTCTCTCTCTCCGAAACTCGAAGGAAGGAAAGAAGCGGTGAATGAAAGGAACGAAACGAAACGACGGAAGAGACAATCGCTAACCCAAAGAGCAAAAAATAAAATTAATAAAAATAACTAAAAACAAAACAAAACCCAATTACTTTCACAAAGATGAAGAGATTGTGTCTTTCTCTATTAGTTTTTTTTTTTTCTGGCTTTACAATTTTTTAAAAAAATATATATATAATTTTGGAGGGTGTGTGTTTATTGATATTCAGTTGTGTAGAAGAGAAAGGTGCACTTGGTGACCGGAATGAGCCGGTAGGGTGTGTGTACGGAAGAAGTTGGGGACGGCAACAGAGCGGAGAACGGAGGAGGAGTAACCGGTATAACCGGGGATTGGTTTAACTATCTACGGTGTTCACCGGTTCCTAATTCTAAGGAAGGGTTTGCCTTATACAAGAGGGGTTGACAACTCAGCAAGTTAAGAAGGTGACCCCACCATTTTGGTTCTATCTTTTTTATCCCATTCTTACCAAAAACACTATATTTGAGAGGTTTTTTTCTTTTTTATCTGATATTATTTGGGAGTTTTTAGTTAAGAAAAGAGAGAATGATATGACGAATTGAAAACAAAAAGAAGAAGAAAAAACGATTAATTTGTATATGCTTTTATCATGTTATTGTTGAAGTAGATATTTTATGAACAGAGCAGTACGAATGTATTTAAACTGGAAAATGAAAAAGAAAATAACAATCAGTATTTGTGATTAAAAAATATTTAGTAAGTATTTAAATCAATTTATCTGGAAATTAAATTATTTTATCTTTTATAAATATATATTTTCAAAATAATCAAATTCAAACATGCTCTTATACTAATAGTTTATATATTGAACTAAACAAAGATATCCGGAATTTTGTAGGACTCATATATGGATATTAACATTGAAGTTTTTTTTTTTTTTTTTGGTAAGCATTAACATTGAAGTTTTAATAATAAATCGTAAAGACACAATTACAGAAATAGTCGTTAAGTAATTTTTAAAATATTTATATCTTGTGTGTGTGCCATTTATTTATTTTTTATCTCATATTTAATCTTAAACCGATCGGTATTTGGTATTCAATAGCGCACTTGCATGTGAATTTATGAGAATTTACCTATGTATGTTCTATTTTCTCTTCTTTAAAAACTTGTCAAATTTCATATTTATATTATTTATTTTTCATTTTTCTCGTGTTTAAGCTGACTTATTCTGTCATAGAATAATAAATTTTTCATATCAGTATTGACTTAAATACACATCATTTAAAAAAAAAAAACGAGACATGGAATCAACGGCCACTGACAAATTTGTATTCAATCACGAAATTAAATAATTAGAACCCTTAAATAGGAGTGAAATAAATGATCAAAATTAAAAATATAAGTTACATTTAGGGGTGAAAGTGGGTCAGGCCGGCCTACGGCCTAATCTATATCAGGTCGGGTTTGGCCTATTACATATAGGGTGTGCATGACAATCATTCTATTCCCTAGCACTGTTTTTGAAAAGAAATAATTATTTTCTATTTATGTGTCTTGGAACAGTTTTTGAGAAAAAAAATGTGTTTGATAACATGCTCTATTTTTATTCTGAGAATGAGAAATGTTTTTGATAACACAACAAATAATATAATAAAAACTAATTCCTATTAAATATAAAAAAATTTCGGATCATCACATTTCTTTCCATATGGTGTGATTGTGGTGTTGGTGGCGGCAGTGGCATGGTGGCGGCGGCGGCGGTATGGTAGTGATGGTAGCAGTGGCATGGTGAAGATAGTGGTGGTGGTTGTGACGACAGTGGCTGCGACGATGGCGGTGGTAATGGCGGCGGCGATGGCGGTGGCGACGGTGGTAGTGGTGGGGATGGTGGTGGTGGTGGTGGAGGTGACGACAGTGACTGCGACAATGGTGATAGGTATGGTGGTTGGTGGCGGCAACAATAGTAGCAGTGGCATGGTGGTGATGGTGGCTGTGGCTGTGGCGGTGGCGGAGGTGGTAGGTGACAGTGGTGGTGGTGGTGGTGGTGATGGTAGTGGCGGGGGTGGTGACGGTAATGGTTGTGACGATGGTGGTGGTGGTTGGTGGCGGCGGCAACGACGCCGGTGGTGGTGACGGTAGTGACTGTGGCAATGATAGTGGGGGTTGGTGACAATGGTGGTGATGGTACTGGTGGCGTCGTGGTGGTGGTAGTGGTGGCAGTGTCGTATAATGGCGATGGTGGCGGTGACGACAATGGTTGCGATAATGGTGGTGGTGGTTGATGGCGATAGTGGTGGTGGTGACTGTGACGGTGATGGTGGTGGTGGTGGCGGCGACGGTGATAGTTGTGGTGGTGGTGACGGTGGCATGGTGGTAGTGATGGATGGAGGTGGTGGTAATGGTGGCGGTGGCATCGTGGTGGTGAGGGGTGGTGACGACGACACTAGTGGTACGATAGTGGCAGTAGTCGTGTCGGGATTATGGTGGTGGTGGTGATGATGGTAGAGGTGGAGAGTGATTGAGAGAGATAAGTCTTTCTCATTTTGTGCCCGAGAACAAAAAAGTAGAAATTTTCTGATTTTTTTTTCTATTCCCCAGCACAAAAATTAAACCGGTTCATCCCGGGAACAAAAAAATAAACTGATTTTACCAAACAAGTTTCCTATCCATTTCTGTTCCCGGGAACAGAAATTAAAAAAGAATTGATTCCGGGAAGGTTGTCATGCACACCCATAGTCAAATAGAACAGGCTCGGGCTTTTAAAGAAACCTATTTAAAAAGTAGGTGATAGGCTCTTTTTTTACATATCAAGCCTATAAACCTACAGGCCGGTCTATCTCATATTATTTATTTTAAATAAAAAAATAATATTATTAATAGTAATACCAAATGGTAATAGTTCAGTTGGTGCATGTGAGCTAAGTAGGTGGTGGAATGACTTAGGTTCGATCCGTCACCAATACTATCTTAAGAGTGGCATAAAATTTGTATCAATCTCTACACTATCTTCAGAATCAACATTTAGTGTTGGAAGAAGAGTTTTTAATGCCTATCGTTCTACCTTGGTTGAAGATACCATCCGAGCTTTAATATACGGTGAAGATTTGCTACGTAATAGGTATGACTTGAGGAAAAAATAAAAGGTATAAATATAATCAATTGAAATTATTTTATAATTTAATTATATTCGATTAAATTTTAATATAAATTTGAATTTATTTTTTATGTAGGAAGAACCAACATCTTAGCACGTGAGATTGCCTATATAATTCTTTTAAAAGATTTATTGTTTCTTAATCTTATTTTTTTTGTTTCTATTCTTTATTCTTGTTTTTTGTTTTCTATATTTATAAATTGTTTGCCAACTTATATAATCTTGGAATTGTATTTGTAGGGGAGAGAATATGAAGAGAAATTTTTGGCTACTACAAGCATCATGATGTGTTTGTTGGATTCATGTAGTTATTTTAATTTACATAGTATAGATTTATTTGTCGGATCTGATGAAATATATGTTATTTAGTTTGAGCATTTTGCATTTGAAAGTGACTTTAAAATGTCTTTTTTTTAATATTAAGTAGTATTTTATTTGTCGTGTCAACTTTTTTAATATAAAATTTTTATTTTAATACTCATATACAAAAATAAAAAAGAAAACAAATTTATGACAAAGGTATTTTATACATATGGAGGCAAAAATGAGTTCCCATAAACTCTCAAATTGAATATTATTATATATTAATGAAAATGTAAAATGGAATTAAAAGCACTAAAAAATTTATAAAATAAGATTTATTTCAAATTTTTATTTTATTTATTTTTTAAACGGATTGATCTGTCAACCTAGTATAAAACAAAATGCATTGATATTTCAAAACTACTTTTAAGAGCAGACCAACCCGCTCTGCCTCGTTTTTATTGTTTGGCAGTGGATTGGCCCACATTGCCATCTTTAGGCCAACGTAAATGGTTAAAATAATATTCGATAAAATTGATTTAATATTTTATTTAAGGAATAAACTGTAACCTAGAAATACAAATTGACAAAATGAAAGATATAAAAATAATTTTTTCTATGATCTAAATACTCGTTACTTATTAAAAGTGTATTTTATGTCAGTAGGAATTAAAAAAAATGTGATATCAATTTTATTTTTATTTTTTTATAAAAGTTCTTTCTAGGTACTGTTGTGGATATATATCATATCCTAACTACCTAGCTAAGAATTAATCAAAGGATAAACACTTAATTATCCTAACAATATTAAAAAGCAAGATACTTATGTTAGAATCCTTATCTCAACAGAAAGAAAGTTGAATCCTACCATAACTAGCAGATCTACACAAACACTAGAGGTAACCCTTATAAATAAAAGGCTAAAGACCACAGGTACACAATTTTTGACCTATTTACTATTGTTGCCATCATTGTGCACACACCCATGTTTTGGCTATAAGCCTATTGCTTGTGCGCAGTGATTGGAATATTGGCTATAAGTCAACTACGGTACCTATCTTTACGGTATCTCTGAGCGCATACCATTCGGTATAGCAATTAGGTCTTCTAGGACCTAACATTGGCGCCGTCTGTGGGAATGTTAAATTTCGATTCCCATTCCACGATGACGAACATCCGTTCGACGTCCAGCAACGCTCAGCCCCTACCGTCGTCATATCAGTCTGCCCTCGGTTATCTCCAATCGACTTCAGAACCAGTTTTGGTGGAGGTGCAAGTCGGAGAGGTCGGCACAGAGCAACCACCCTACATGACCCAGGGCAACCCAATGGCGAAGTCTGCACGTCCGCAAAATGACCAGCCCAGAAGTGAGGATCACGTTGTTACTACCGCCATGAATGCAATCCTGCAAAGGTTACATGAAATGGAGAACAGGTTCCTGGCTCAACAAAGGCTGAATGCCCAGAGGATGGAGGCATTTGAGGCCGATCTGCGAAACCAAAACACTGAAGGCCGAGCTGGAAGAGCAAGAACTGAAGGACCGGAGCATCAGAACAGGCCCAGTTCAAACTGAAGGACCGGAACGTCAGAACTCGGCAGCTGAAAATGTCTGAGATCCTCACCACGACAACCAGCATGAAGGAGGAGGACATGGCAACAACCAAGGAGATAACTATCTCCACGCTAAAGAGGCTAATGATAGCCCGTTTACTGAGAGGCTCATGAACTTGGCAATTCCGTTGAGGTTCAAAAGTGCCAAGATACCTCCATATGACGGAAGTCAGGATCCAGACACCCATCTGGAGGCATTCAAGACCGAGATGTTGTTTAACGGGATAACTGGACCTATTAAGGCCAGAATCTTT